TCTCTCTCTCCCTCTCTCTCTCTTTCTCTCTCTCTCTCTCTCTCTCCCTCCCTCTCTCACTTTACATTTCTCTCCCCACCCCACCCCCCCACACTCTTGTGTTTTTTTCGATGTCTTTGCTCATCTTCGTTTTCCCCCTCTTTTCTCTCTCTCACTCCCCCTCATATCAATGTCTATATTGTTGACTACGTTTGCCTTCCTGTCTGCTTATCTGTCTGTTTTTCTGTCCTTTGTGCAGCCGTTATACTACTTTTTAAACAGGGTTTCAGTATATAGTGAGTGTATCAAAGCTTTCAAATTAGTAGAAGGCCAAAAGAAGCGAAACTAAAAAAACCCAACAAAACAACAGACGACATTTGCAAAGCGTGGCTAATTCCTAAAAATTATTCGTTGTATGGAAGAATAGAATAGTATAGAAGAAACTTGGCTTGACTTAATGCACAATTAAAATGTGATGCCCTTTGATTTTGATCACCTTATGTAATATACAGAGTATATACATTTTTGCATTATAATTAAAAGAATGACGTAAATATCTATTAAATCATTTTTAAATAGGAAGGGTAAGTGAAGTTGTACATTTTTTAAATTCCTTGGGTTTGGTTTTGCAGGTGTAGAATTCATAATCTACCGTTTTTAACCATTCTTTTTCCAGTATCGACACTACAGGAACGATTACAGTAACAGATTCAACCCTGCTGACGGACGCCACCAAGTACATTCGATGGGTCATTTGTCGTTCCACGGACGGCGGGGTCGTCACGTCTAGACTTTCGCTTATCAGGATCGATACTTTCGACAGGGACACCCAAATGATCGTGATCGAATTCGCAGAGTCTCTGACAAATCTCAGGAATAATATGTGAGTAACTATTTTTAGAAGGTATTATTTTCATAACATTCATAGATCTAGAGGACTTTTTGATTTCTTTTGAAAACGTTGCCGGTTTCTGCTTCTTAAAATTAAAGTTCTTCCAGAGTCCGTAAAGTATTTCATTGTTGTCTGTGGCGTAATGATTAGATTCTTGGCAGTGCGTACGAAAGAAGTGAGTCTGTACCCCCTTGAGGAATCTAGTTGAGTACCTCAGTCATTTTGCTTGGATGATGCATCCCACTCAACCTGGAAAATCTCTAAGACTCTGAGAGCTACAGGTAGCTGCTAATGAACTGTTCTCCTATAAGATCAACATTCTTTCTTTCTTTCTTTCTTTCTTTCTTTCTTTCTTTCTTTCTTTCTTTCTTTCTTTCTGTCTTTCTTTCTGCATTTTCTGTCTTTCTTTCTTTCTTCTTCTTCTTCTTTTTCTTGTTCTTGTTTCTGTTCTTCTTTTTCTTCTTCTTCTAATTTTCCTCCTCCTCCTCCTCCTTCTCCTTCTTCTCCTCCTCCTCCTCCTTCTCCTCCTCCTCC